CCCCCTCCACCTTCCAAAGACCATGGAAGATGCCCCCCCCCTCTGATGACGCCCCAAATGGCATGGGGTTAAAAAACGCTTGAGGGATTTGCCATGCCCTTCCTGCGATTCGGCGAGATGGTCCCTGCGGATACAGGAGCACTTTGGGCCTGGCGGATAGAGCTGAAGCAGGATCTTCCTTTCCCCGCCCTCCTCATTTTCCCTATCTCTCCACAACCCCTTCCCCCTCCATCCCCTTCCTCTCGCCTTCTTTCCCTTGCTAGTCGAAGGTTACATGTTCGGGTCATGGCAAAGAGGAATACTTTGTGATAATAAGTGTGACGCTCTATTGAACGCGTTTGCAAATCCGCATGAGTTTTTTTCCTCTCTCTTTCTTTGGTGTTTTTCGTCCTCTGTCCTTCTTCTTCTTCTTTATCTTCTTCTTCTTTTCCCTCTTTCTCTTTCTGTTTCCTTCCCCCCCCCCTTTCTTTTTCTTTTCTCTTTTTTTTTCTTTCCCTTTCCCTTCCGTGTTTGCACAATATGTGCATGGAAAGCCCGTAAAGGGCATGTCGGATCCGTAATCTCACTGGGGATACAGGGGTTCGTAGTTWTYTTTTTYTTCTGCCCCGTTTTYTTTTTTYTTTTTTYTTYTWTTTKTYTTTTTTTTTTTTTTTTTTTTCTCCTTTGTCTTTTCTTTCCCTGTTCTTTCTTCGTCTCCCCACCCCTTTTTTTTCTGTCCTTCTCCCTCTTCGTCTTCTCCTCCCGTCCGTTCTTCTTCCTCCTCGTTGTCTTCCTCTACCCCTCTCTCTCTCTCTCTCTTTTTCGCTCATAAAGGGTTGCAGTGTTGGGTTGATTAAATGAATGTTTTGTTTATCAGATATGAAGGTGTGTGCGTTGGCATGTCATGACTTCACAAATGAAATGATTCAAATGTAAGTGTATTGGATGTAATTATTCCTCGGAGAAACAAGCTCCCGCCCCCCTCTTTTTTCGTCTTACGTTGCCTTTGCGTGCCCATTTACCTTCGACAAGACGACTTTTCTCGCCCTCACCACAAATGGACACACGATTGGGTCTTACCCTGCCGCGTTTGTAAATCGCCTCCACGAATTGCTCCCTGGCTGCGGTGTGCCGACATGGTCGGAGCTGCACGAGTATGACGTGTCGTACTCGCGCATGACTCATGTGACACACACATGCTACACACTCAAGAGGACGAGTTTCCTCAATCGCTGTTGGGGGGTGCCCCCCCTGACCGCACCGCAGAGCCTTTTATGGCATTCCCTGAATGTCGTCGCGTGGACATGGGTGATAACTGTGGGCATAGGGTACGCCCGCGCTCGTCTGAACGATTGGGAGGGTGATAGCTGCGATCTGTCAACGTAAACGGCGCAAATTCAGAAGTGTAATATGACGAAGGCCAAAGGTTTTGGTGAACATGCCTTTCTTTGCCAGCCCCGGTAACCTTTTTTTGACTTAGCTTTGCTCACCCTATTTTTCCATGTTCCTTGTCCTGTTTTGTTTTCTTCCCCCTCCTCCTCCATTCGCAATGACCTTCTCTCCCTTTCGGATCCTCCTTGCCCGTCCCCCTGTCTCCGTTCTCTCCTCGCCTTTTGCCCTTCCTTTTGCGATGTCCTCATTCTCCTTCCTGTTGTGCCTTCTCCCCTTCCCCCCCTTCCCTCCCCGACCCGTATTGACCCCCCTTTTTTTGTGAATAATTTCCCCATTTCACTGCTGTGTTTTGTGGTTCTTCCTTTGCTCTTCGCCCCTCGCGCTTGTGCAGCCGCCCCCCAGGGAAGCATTCCCGGGAGGATGGTGGAACGAGATCACGGACTGCCTTCCATGGCTGAAGGAATGCGCTTCGCCTGCGAAACCTACGCAGGCGCTGCTCACCTGCGTCAACCCCGGGGTCATCGATGCTATCAAGGCGAAATGGGATTCCGATCGCTTTCCTCATTTTTTTGAGATGTTAGGCTTTAGCGATCTTGCCGTTCTTGCGGGCGCTTGGGACCGGGGGCGGCACGAGTTCGATGACGAATCAGAGGTTCTTTGCGAGAAACTCGAGCTGAGAAAGCAAGAGTATGTTAGGGAATGCAGGGAGCTCGGGGGTAGATCTGCAAAGGTCAAACAGATCTTTCTCAAGATCTGGGATGTGGATGACTCCCAACTGGAAGGTCGGGTACTCGAAACCAGGACGGGTGATCCCGTTGTCACCCAGGACAACCACGTGACGCTATGTGATGATCTCGCGATTGAGGAAGAGGAGAGGATTGAGATGGAACGTGCGATCGCTGCCATAAAAGCCACCACCCAGGATTCTCCGCCCGCCTCCGGCAAAAAAGGGGGTGAGGCTTCGGAACGCGACCAATATACAGCATTTGTGCCTCTCGCATCCATGTACTGGGTCGAGCACACCTCCACGGCCTTTAGACACGCGATCTGGAAGATGGATACCTTCAACCATCTCGCGCCGATCTCTGTCCGAGCACTTCAGTTCTTAGGTAACGTCACGGACGAGCAGGTTAGACAGTGCAAAACGATGATTTTAAAAGGGAAACCGAAATACTGCGGTAGGGCCAACCCTCTGGATCCCCAGGACCTGAAGTTTCCTCCCATGCATGAGCTCGATCCCGATAAATGTGGCGAGACGAATTCAGGTATGTGGCAGAAGGGCATCATACAGGAAGGGAAGCACGATCTCAGGACCTTGAGGAAAGTATGGAGTGTGGGAAGACCATACTTGAAGTGCAAATGCAAGAAGGACAGGAACAAGGACTGCGGGGATACCCCCCTATGGTTTGATCACGTTATTTGGTACTTATTAGCGCACCCGGACATCCTCTTTCCTAACGTGTCCTCAATAAAGATCCGGACTTCTATGCTCATACACTATCTTAGGACCACGTGGAGGGACGGGGTGCTAGCGACCATCAGTTTCCATTTCCTCAGGGACCTGATGATAGGATATGCCAAAGAACTCGAAGGAGATCCGACTTTGAATGCAGAAGGTGTTCTGAAAGAGGAACGCCTTTGGAACTATCCAATCCCGGCGGCACTTGCGCGCATCATGCTCCCCACTCGGATTCCCGAAAGGCCAACTAAGGTCCCGCTCAGCTCTCCGCGTGCCGCGGCACGAAAAAGAAGCGGAGGGGCACAGGGTCCACACCAAACCACGCTCAATTTTCAAAGAGCCCAGCCTGTGGGTGACGCCCCTCCACCTCCCCCCCCTCCTCCTCCCCCTCCTCCTCCCCCTCCCCACCCTACCCAACAGCAGCCCGCTGAGCCCGCCACCCGGACGACGCAAGCAGGGGAAGTACTGCAACCTGGCAACACCATCTTCAATCCACCCCCGGCCAGGGTACGACAATCACCCCCACCGCCGGCCGCCTGGTTGCCGGTTCTCACCCCCTCACTCCCTTCCATTCAACACCCTCTCATGGTCATCAGGGGACTTACTCCTCCGCCTGTCATCCACATTTCCCCAGAGAGCTCCGCGAAGTCTGCACTCACACAGCCTGGTAAGGGTAGGAAGAAGAAGAACCCAGGGGGCGGGGCGAAGGGCGGGGCTGCCACCTCCAGACGACCCACGAGGGCTTAAATGCATGCAGCGCCTCTCTTCTACACCTTCTTCTGCCTCGTCTGCGGCATCCTCTTATTTCTCCCCTTATTATTCGTCATTCTTTCTTCTTTTCTCTCAAGCTCTCCCTCTCCCTTTCTATTTTCCCTTCCAACCCGCCTCCCCGCCCCCTCCGTTTTCACTATTCCCACTTACCTTTTTCATATGATCCATCTGCGTGATGTGATCCTCTTCCCCCCCCCTTTTTTATTGCCTCTACACCCGTGGCGTGTTCTACCCCCCCGACACACTCCATGTCTTGTACCTGTGTGCTTCCGAGCGCAGGATCGGAATGGATGGGTCAATGCCCCGGGCCAGATGACCACGCTACCGAACGGCAGGAAGGCATGGAGGAGGCAAAAATCAGAATGTGACACCTTCCTACATCTGAAGTACACCAGCCGCGTGATGGAACCGCTTTCCATTAGGAGGCTAATAAACGGAGTGCTCAGCAGGGTGATTGGAGATGACACGGCGACTTGGCTGGAACGCACAAGAATTGGGTGGACCTATAAGCACAGTAAAGCCTCCAGGCTATGCAGACCTGCGGAGACATTCTGTGACTTCAACGTGTCGCAGTGGATGGAGGGTTACGACCCGGAGCAGTACCCATGCAGAACGAGGAGGTACTCGGACATGCGCAGCAGCTGGTCGATCGAGCTACTCCACAACGAGGGCTGCACGCACGTCATCACTCTAGACTCATCAATCACGGATAGCCCGCTGCTGCAGAACATCATCAATGCAGACCTCAATCATATCCCGTGCATGGCTCTGGATGTGGATGAAGCAATCGCCGAACTAGGGAGCTTTTTGGACGAGCTTTTTGCACGGGTGATGGAGCTGCGCGACCTCACGGATTCCACCAAGTCGTTTCTTCGAAGGATCATCTTGAAGAAGGGCAAGGAAAAGATGGAGAAGTATCGGGTGACGCACAGGCACGTTGCTGCGGAACCATTCGAGCATCCGACCGTCAAGAGTGAGTTGACGTTCCTGACTAGTAGATTCCTCATCTGTCCAACGGACAAGGCTCCCAACACGCCCGCCTTCGTCTGCAAGAACTTTATACGGAAGCTGGCCTTCCAAAGGTTGTCTGACCCTGAGTTTGCCAGCATTTCCGCACCACCTGCAACCGTCATATCGTGCATTCGGGGCGAGCTCTCGGCCTTGCCGACGATTCCTGCTGCTACAGCCTTGCTCCCCTATCTCATGGCAGTACTCAAGGCACACAAGGGCACCTTCCGGTGGATCACGAACACAGCGAACACTATCATCTCTCCTGCAGCGGAAGTCTGCGCCTGCCTATTGCGTTTCCTTCTTCCGCTGGTGCAGGCCTTCTGTCAGGACAAGAGTCTGGAGGTGGAGCAGCATGGCGTCAAGCCCAACCTCTGGTGGGCCATTTCATCGGTAGGGGAGTTCTACGCGAATCTACCAGAGAAGGTCTACTCCGTCTTCACAACCGACATTACCAGGTGTTTTGAAACAATCCCGACCGACAACTCGGAGGACAGCCTCACTGTCGCGGTCAGATTCTACGTACAGTGTGCTATGCAGGTGAGGAGGGAGAGGAGCTCTAGCCACGCGATCAGGATTAGGTTCGGGGGAGGCGGCGATCTACAGCCATCATGGGCAGACGCTGGGCAGCCGGAGGAGATGGGCACATTGCTATTCAGGAAAGGCGATATCTACTGGCTCTCGAAATGGTGCATAGCCAACAACTGTGCATGGGAGAATAAGTGTGGAGGCAGGTAAGGGGTATCCCCATGGGACTGGCGTGCTCCCCGATCTGGTGCGACATTTCTTTTTTTTAATATGAGTATCAGGCGATGATGAGATTGGTGGATACGGGGAATACCCATCTGATCCCGTGTTTTGGGAGCACCTTCGGATACATAGACGATCTTGGAGCGGTCAACAACGTCGTCATCAAAGACTTTCTGGATAGGAGGGAGGACCGACAACCAGATGATCCCTGCTGGATCTACCAAGATCAATACATTGAGATCACAGAGAACACGGACTTGGCCGGGTGGCCAACTTCCTCAGCATAACGATCACAGTCACCTCCTCGATGGACGGTTTCTTCTCCACCACCAGACATGACAAGCGCGTTGGACTGGGCTTTGCTCCCTGCAAGTTCATCAAGTTCAGATCCAACAGGAGTGCCAGGCAATCGCTGCAGATCATCACGGCACAGGTGGCGCAAATTCTCCTGCTATGCTCAGAAACGGAGGACGCGACGAATCAGATTGCGAGCGTAGTGACAACGATGAGAAACAATGGCTTCGCCGTGGAAGCGTGCTGGGCAGTAGAGATTTTCCGACTGCCAAAAACTCTCACTTCAGAATTTTCATTCCCGAATTTTCAGCTACCCGATAATCGCTTGTGGGGCAGGGGGCTGACCCGCAACTTTGAAAGAAACTACTCTACGACATACACGCATGCACACACACGTGACACACACACACACACACACGCACACACACACACACACACACACNCACACACACACACACACACACACACACACACACACACACACACAAACACACACACACATACACACACACACACATACACACATACACACACACACACATACACACAAACACATACACACACACACACACATACGCACACACAAACACACATACACACACACACAGACGAGGGCACACACACATACAAAGACAAACATACACACACACACACACACATACACACACACCCACTTGATACGCAAATGCACATGAACACACACACACACACACTACTCTACGACACTCTACTGTACGCACTCTACTCTACTCTACTCTGCTCTACTCTACTCTACTCTACTCTACTCTACTCTACTCTATTCTACTCTACTCTACTCTACTCCACGACACTCTACTATATGACACTTTACTCTATGACACTCTACTCTACGACCACCCTACTTTAGACTGTCTACACTACTCTATGACACTCTACGACACTGTACTCTACTCTACAATACTGTACTTCACTATACTCTACTCTACCACACTTTACGCCACTCTACTCTACTCTACAACACTCTTTGACACTCCACGACACTCCACTCTACTCTACTCTACTCTACTCTACTCTACTCTACTCTACTCTACACTACTCTTCTCTACGACACTCGACTCTACTCTACTCTACGACACTCTACTCTATTGTACTCTACTCTACTCTACTCTACTCTACTCTACTCTACTCTACTCTACTTTACKCTACTCTACTCTACTCTACTCTGCTCTGCTCTGCTCTGCTCTACTCTGCTCTACTCTGCTTTACTCTGCTCTACTCTACTCTACTCTACTCTACTCTACTCTACTCTACTCTACAACACTTTGCTCTACTCCATTGTATGACACTTCACTCAACTTTACTCTAAAATATTGTAATCCACTCTAGGAAAGTCTACCCTACTATCCTCCGCAACACTTTATGACACCCTACTCTACTCTACAACACTCTACGACACTCACGGACACTCTGCTATACTCTACTATACTGTACTCTACTCGACTCTACTCTATTCTATGACTCTTTACTCCACTCTAGTCTACTATACTCTACGTTATAACAGTCTACACTACTCTACTTTCCTCTACAACACTCTCTCTACTCTACGACACTCTACGACACTCGTCTGTACTCGATGATACTCTACGACACTCTACGACGTTCTACGACACTCTACAAAACTCTACAAAACTCTACTCTACTCTACGAAACAGTACGACACTTCACTGTACTCTACTCTACTCTACTCTACTCTATTCTACTCTACTCTACTCAACTATACTCCACTCCACTCCACTTTATTCGATTTTACCCACTATTCTTTACTCTACTCTACTTTACTCTACGCTACTTTACTTTACTCTACTCCACTCTATTACACTCTAGTGACTCTACTGTACTACATTCTACTCTACTCTCACTCTACAAAACTCTATTTTACGACACTGTACGACACTCTACGACACTCTCTAACACCCTACTCTACTCTACGACACTCTACTCTACTCTACAACACATTACTCTACGCTACAACACTTTATTTTACTTTTCGACATTGTAGAACACTCTACTCTACTTTACGATACTATACTCTACTGTACTGTTTGACACTTTAGGACACTCTACTATACTCTACAACACTGTACTCTACTCCACTCTACTCTACTCAATGACACTACAACATTCTATTTTACTCTACAACACTCAATAACACTTTACTCTGTTCTCCTCTACATAACGACAACTCTACTCTACTTTGCGACACCCTACTATACTCTATGACACTGTACTCTACTTTGAAATACGTCATTGTACTTTACAACACTCTATTCTACTTTACTCTACTCTGCGACACTCTACTCCACTATACTCTATGACACTATACTATACTCTATTCAAAGACACTTTACTCTACTCTACTCTAGTCTACGACACTCTACTATACGATATTCTATGACTACTATACTCTTCTCCACTTTACGACACTCTAGGGAATGCTATAATGCTCTACAACACTCAACTTTACTCTACTCTACGACATTTTTCGGTACTCTATGACACTTTACGATACTCCACGGTTCTCTACAAAACTCTGCTCTACTCTACTTTACTTTACGACACTCTACTCTATTATACTCTACTCTACTACACTATACTCTACTCTACTCTACTCTAAAACACTCTATGACACTTTACTCTACTCTACACTACTCTAGTTTACTCTACTCTACCCACTCTACTCTAGTTTACTCTACTCTACTCCACTCTACTCCACTCTACTCCACTCTACTCCACTCTACTCTACTACATTTGACTACGCTCTACAACAATCTACTCTACCCTATTTTACGACACTTTACGACACTCCACTTTACTCTACTCTACTCTACCCTACTTTACTCTACTCTACCCTACTCTACTCTACTCTACTCTACTCTCTACTCTACTTAACTCTACTTAACTCAACTAAACTGAACTCTGCTCTACAAAACTCTAGTGTACTCTACTCTACTCTACTCTACTTTACTTTATTCTACCCTACTCTAGTCGTCGATTCTACGACACTGTACTGTACTCTACTCTATTCTACCCTACTCGAGTCTACTCTATGAGACTTTATTCTTCTCTACTCCACTATGCTCTACTCTACTCTATATTAAGCTAAGACAATCAATCATACTCTACTCTACGACACTCTACTCTATGATACTCTACTCTACTCTACGACACTCTACTATATGACACTCTACTCCACAAGACTCTACTTTACAACAAACTATTGTATTTTACGACACTCTATGACACTCTACGCTACACTATAACACCCTACTATACTCTACTCTATGATATTCTACTCTACTCTTCGACACTCCACTTTACGCCACCCTACTCCACCCTTCTCTACTCTACTCTACTCTACTCTACTCTACTCTACTCTACTCTACTTTATAAGACTTTACTCTATTCTACTCTACTCTACTTTACGAAAGTCTAATCTTATCTACGATACTTTATTCCACTTTATTCTACTCTACTGTACTCACTCTACTCTACTCTAGTTTACTCTACACTACTCTAAGACATTCAACTCTACTCTACTCTACTCTACAACATACTACTCTATGACACGCTAATCTACGACACTTTACTCTACAACACTTCGCTCTACTCTATGACACTCTACGACACGCTACGCTACACTATGATACTTTACGTCACTCTACGCTACTCTACTCCACGATATTTTACTCTCTTCTACTACTCTCTACTTTACTCTATTGTACTTCACTCTACTTTAACCTACAATACGACACTCTACTACACTCTACTATACTACACTCTTAGACTAATGTACACTACTCTAAGACACTCTACTCTACTCTACTCTGCTACATTCTACTTGACTCTATGATAGTTTACTCTACTGCACTCTACTCTACTATACTCTACTCGACTCTATAACACTCTACTCTACGACTGTATACTTTACTTTACTCTACTATACTTTACTCTACTCGAAGACAATGTGGTGTACGATACTCTCCTCTCATCTACGACACTCTACTTTAATGTACGCGACGACAGTCGACTCTACTCTATGACAGTCTATTGTACTCTACGACACACTCTACGACACTTTGTGGCACTCTTCTCTACTCTACTCGTTGTTTCTCTACTCTACTCTACTCTACTCTACTGAACTCCACTCTACTCTACTGTACTCTAGTCTACTCTACTCTACCATACCCTACTATACTCTATTTTGCTATGCTCTACTCTATGACATTACTATAGTTTACTCTACTATACTCTACTTTACTCTACGACACTCTACTCTAAGACACTTTACTCTAAGACACTCTACTCTACAAACTCTACTCTATTCTACGACACTCTACGACACTCTATCTTATTAAATGACATTGTACTTTACTCTACACTACTCTTTTCGAACCTACTCAAATCTACTCAACTCAACTCTACTCTACTCTACTCTACTATATGATGCTCTACTGTACCCCACTGTACGACACTCTACTCTACTCAACTCTACTACACTTTACTCTAGTCTACCACACTCTTATCTACCTCACTCTACTCTAATACACTCTACTCTACTTGACTCTACTTTATTCTACTCTACTCTACTCTACTTTATTTTACTCTACTCTACTTTATTTTACTCAACTTAACTCTACTTTATTTTACTCCACTCTACTCTACTATACTCTACTCTAAGACAATGTACTCTACGATACTCTACTCTACTTTACGACACTTATTCTGCTCTACGACACTCTACAATAATTTACTCGACGACACTCCGTGACAATCTATGACACTCTACTCAACTGTATGACACTCTATTGTACTCTATTGCACTCTACTGTACTCTACTTTACGACAACGTACTTTATGATATTCTACTCTACGACACTCTATTCTTCTGTACGACACTCTACTCTCCTCTACGACACTCTACTATACTCTACTCTACGACACTTTACGACACTCTACTCT